TAAAATTCGTTTTCTACGCTAAATATAATTATAATACAGATTTGGCAATCGCAATCCATAAAAATATACGAGAAGCTATAAACAGAAACCAAAATAGGATTAATATTAAGCTCCGTAATAAAAATAAACTTTATTTTCCTTTTTGAGCATGTAAAAACATAGATAAGGAAATAAATATTGTCCTTGATTGTACAATTTTATGCATAATATAGTTATACACTCAGAGCAACTCGGAGTAATATGGTCTAAAGCCGGTCTCAGACGACTCGTGTACTTGGCAAAGTGATTGGGCAAAGTATACCAATTTTTGTGTACTTGGCAAGTTCACTAACTTTGTAGATAGTTATGGCAAGCTTGGCGCTCCAGCAGGACTCGTGTACTTGGCAATCATTTGTTATTCGTAGTTGTTTATTATCATAGGAGCTATATACAGATGCCTGACGCACTATTGCCGGAGATGTTTGCCAAGTACACGAGTGATCGTCAGAGTCGTGTACTTGGCAAACAAGGCAAGTCATCAGTTTCAACTGTAAACAACTATTTTGATAGCCAAGCAGATTATGTAGAAAAATAAAAATTAATTAAAAAAAAATGTTTTATATCATTTTGGAATCTCAAACTTTTAACATTACCCTCGTAAGTTGATGATTCCACGTTTCATAAGTTTGTGCAGTGAAAGCGCGTTTAGACAAAGTTTACATTTATTCTGTAAACTTTGATTTAGATTAGTTAAATATCTTTTTTTTCTATGGTTAAAATTCAGTTGTTAATAATTAATTGATCCTGACGTCAGTGTCGACTTCAAAAAATCGAACTATATTTCTCTCCATATCTATTCCAAAGATCTATTCTGTACCAGTTTATTTATAAGATTGTCTCATTGCCTGTGTTTTCGATTTTGTTTCTATTTATTGATATTTAGCATACATATGTCTCCAAGATTGATAACAAGGTCGCCAGTAACTTTAGCGTTAAACAAGAAAATAAAAACTTGGGTAAACAAGTCAGTAGCGCTAAAATCCGCTTCTGACAAACGAACAGACAATATGAGTGGCAAATACTCGATTTTAGAAACCTCGCAAAACAGGATATCGATAGAAGTGTCTCCTAATACCTCTAATGCCAAATTACTGGCGAACTTGGTCCACATTTATTTCCGTCACATGGCTCGGAGCGAAGTATTTGCAGTTGCCTAACCACCAGATTCCAACAGTTGTCCTGGCGCAAAATTTAAATAAACTGAAATGTCCGGTGTTGGTTCATTTACCAGGAAGAAACTTGAATAAAGAACGCATGTTGGAGATTTTAAATTTACTGAAAAATAGCGGAATTAAACATGTTCTGGCTCTACAAGGAGGTAAGATGTTTCAAATTGGTAAATTAGGATATTTTTAGAGTTTTTTTTTCAGATTGGGTTCATGTTTTGGAGAAGGATGATACCAAAGTAGACTTTCCTTATGCTTCGGATTTAGTTTCATTTATTAAAGGAAATTTTGGAAGTGAATTTTGTGTTGGTGTTACGGCTTATCCAGATTTGCATCCGCATTGTGAGGATTTAGAAAGGGATCTTGATTATTTAAAGAAAAAGGTATAGTACACCAGATTTTAAGCCAATAATATAATTCTTTTTATTTAACATTTATTTATTTTCTTGTAAATTTCTTGTATCATTTTTTTTTCTTTCTGGAGTTAAATGGAAGAGCAGAACATAATAATTTATGTTCTGAATTTCGCTCCATTTTTCACTGAATTTGTTTTATTCTGTTATGTTCATATCATTGTGTTTATTATATCATTACTTCTCTTTATTTATTTTTGTGGGAAATAAAGACAATTACATACATACATTACTTAAACAGCGAGGATAGGTTAAAAACTTTATTTCTTCTCGCACGTTTTTCTTCCATTTTTGAAAATGTTTGTATTCCTTTTCATAAGTGATTCGGGATTTAAATGGAAGTAGTTTGGATATGGCGTTTGTCGCCTCAGCCTGAATATCTGTTGGTAATATACTTATTTCGTTTTGAGCCATTTCTGGCTCCAATTCAATAAGCAATCGACACGAAAGAGAATTAAAAAATGTTGACCCAAAACTGACAACTAAAGAGACAGCTTTATTTATTTTTTGTCAAATTACATAGAAGCCAACGCCAACCCAGCACAATATTTTTTCTATTCGTAATTAATTCCTTGAAATAATAATTTCTGAATATTTTAATGAATCATTTCGGTCGACAATAAAATACCATTTTATTGTCTTGGTCTATAAAAAATAACTATTTTTTTCTTTCAGATATCCCTTGGAGCTGAATTTATTCTAACCCAAGCAGTTTTCGATTTTGACGTGTTGGAAAACTACGCAAAGTCCTGCAGAAGACACGGTATCAACGTTCCCATCTTTGTCGGCGTTTTTATCATCAAATCTTACCAAAGCCTGAAGAATATGGCGAAATGGTGCGAATTCAAGGTGCCGCAAGCTGTTTTAGAGTTCCTAGAAAATAATCGCGATGATCCTGATGCGATTGAGAGATTTGGCCTGGATTTCGGCGAAAATCTGATAAGAAAAATCTTAGAAAATAAGGAATTGTTCGCCGGGGTACATCTCTATTCTATGAACGACATGGAATGGATGGAAAAAGTGTTGGATAAGTTTAAATATTCGGATGATGCTTCAAGTTCTGCTAAAATGAAATAACAACTTTTTTTATATATTTTTTTTATTTAATTTGTTTTTTTTTAGTTAATGATACAAGGTTTTATATGATCTACCTAACATTTTTCATTATTTTTTATATGGTTTTGTAATAAGTAATACTTTTTTTAAATGGTTTTTATTTGCTTACAAACTCCCTTATCTTGTATTTGAAAAACGTCATATAAGTTAATACAGGTCATTTCTAAGACTATAATAATAATAATAATAATAAATGCCTTTATTGTCAAAAAAAATTTTCAATTTGTAGACAAAGGTAAACTAACAAACAAAATAAAAAAACAAGGTACACAAACAAACAAACAAAAGATACAAAACAAAAATAATTCATAGTGGCTATGCAAGATTATGCCCTACATGGATGACTTGAGATATATGCTGCAACAAAAAACCAACTTGAAAACCTTCTGCGTACCGTTCATAAAATCAGCGCAGATATTGGAATGACCTTTGGTACGAGCAAATGTCAGACTGTTTCAATCATAAGAGGAAAACTATGCGAAACACCAGAATTGAATCTAGATGAGAAAACTATTATCTCCGCAATGTCGACTGAGCCGTATAAATATCTTGGAATGCTACAAACACACAAAATAGAACATGGAATTATTAAAAACCGCCTATCGACCGCCTTCCGACTGCGACTTACCTCCCTTCTAAAGACAGGTTTGAATTCTAAGAACCTCTTTAAAGCAATAAACACTTATGCCCTACCGGTTCTTACATATTCTTTTGGAATAGTCAAATGGACCCATACAGATTCAACTCTCAAACGCCTTGGTACGAACAACCTTTAACCAAATTTAAAATCACCACCCAAGAAGCGCTACGGAACGGGTGACCCTCCCTCGAAATCTTGGAGGTAGAGGTTTACTGGATGTTGTTAATGTCTGTCGGGAGCAAATAAAGAGCCTCAGAGAATACTTTTATACCAAGAACAGCAACCTTTACGTCACGGTGTCTTCAGCTGATGTCAAATACACCCCCTTGAACCTCAGTAGAAACAATATGGTGCTTTTCCAACTCCTACATCAATCACTAATAAAATAGCTACTTGGGGAGCCAAGGAGTTACACGGACGGTACCTAAATGAGCTAGATCAACATACATTGAAAAGGCGGCATCATTGCACTGGTTAACATCGGGTTATCTCTACCCAGAAACCGAGGGATTCATAGTGGCTATGCAAGACCAAGTTATTCCAACACGCAACTACCGGAAACTCATCCTAAAGGAGAATATATCAGACAAGTGCCGTAGATGTGATTCTGGAAGTGTAAACATAGAACACATTTTATCAGGGTGCAATAATCTTGCGAGTACAAAGTATCTGGAAAAACACAACAGAGTCGCATCAATCATCTACTTGGAGATCCTCAAACAATTCAACATTGACCGAGAAATCCAAGAGCCCTACTACAAATATCATCCACCACCAGTAGTCGAAAATAATAGTTTCAAAATATACCGGGATAAAACAATCTTAACAAATAAAACCGTTAGAAGTAACAGACCGGACATCACGCTTATAAATAAAATTAAAAAACCAGTTTTACTAATTGATATTTCTATTCCTAACAACAACAATATACAAAGCAAGTTTACAGAAAAAATAACAAAGTATCAAGATTTGAGAATAGAAATAAAAAATATATGGCAAATGGAATCGGTCCAGGTAGTCCCGTTGATTGTCTCGACCATTGGAATTATCCCGGTCAACCTGAAAGAACAATTAAAAGTAATTGGAATACCTGAAAATACTTTACATACTAATTCAGAAGTCAGTTATTCTCGCAACATGCTAACATAATGAGAAAAGTATTAAACTTGATTAGATAATAAAACTATTGTCTTGTCCCCTTGGGGCCGACAAGGTAGATTTACTTACCTGTAACGAGCAGTGAAAAAAAAAAAAAAATAATAAATGCCTTTATTGTCAAAAAAATTTTTAATTTGTAGACAAAGGTAAACTAAACAAGCAAAGTAAACAAACAAGGTACACAAACAAACAAACAAAAGATAATACAAAATATTATACAAATAATATTGTCAGTCTTACAGCTTAAAATAAACATTTATAAATGTTTACAATGTCAAAGAACAAAAAATAAAAATAATATTCAAAAATATTTAGTTAGTTTATAGTAAATATCAATGACCTCTAAATAAATCTATTTCGATGTCATTAGTAAATATAGCAATAGCAAACATTAGACCAGTGTTTACAAGATCAAATTCGATTTTCAAAATATAATTCATTTACGGCGTAGAAAGCCTTGTCTAGTAAATAAGAGTTCAATGCTTTGCGATATGAAAAAAAAATGATGTTATGGATTTGATTTCAAATGGCACGTGATTGTGCATTTTTTTCGAGTTGTATAATATTGAACTTTTAACTATCTCTGAGAGTGGGGTCGGTAGATAAAGATCTTGCTCCGCGTTCCTGAGTGGATAAGTGTGAGATGGCCTTTCTTGAGAAGCTGATACATGTTTACGTATTAGGCAAATGGATTCAAATATAAATAAGGAAGGGAGAATCAATATTTTTAATTCTTTAAAAAAGCCCCGGCAATGAGTTAAGCTGTTTAGTTCCAGTGAATATCGAACAGTTCTCTTCTGGAGCTTGAAAATACGGTCAAATTGAGTCGCACAACACGTACCCCAGAATGGAAGGGCATACCTGAGGTGCGACTCAAAAAGTGCATAATAAACAGTTCTAGCCATCTAACACTGACAAGTTAAGCTCCTTAGAAACAGACCTTAATGCAAAACAGGCAGAGCTCAATTTTTTCGACAAAGCTTCGATATTTATGTCCCATTTCAGAGAATTGTCCACAACAAGCCCTAAGAATTTTACAGATTTTTCGACGTCAATGGTGGTGTTGTTAAGTACAAAAGGCTGCAATGAGTTTTTATACGACAAAGCTTTAGTTTTAGAAATGTTGAGACTCAGGAGGTTCGAATCGCACCAAGATTTAATAGCGATTAAGTCATTTGATATAATCCTATGAAGTGCCGTGATGTCCTTGTTGACTATATTTTTCAAGTGTAAAATAGGATTGATTGACGTATTCAATTGTTTTTGAGTCACTTCCTGTTTCCTCCGGAAAGAATACAACTTTTGATTTCTATATGGCACTGGAATAGAATGACATATCATATGTCAATTTTTGATATTCTCGCTTAAAAAAAAAATATCGTATTTTAATATTCACCTAGAGTCAGGGGTGCCAAGTTTCAAAATAGAGGGTAAAAAGAGGCACAGGCGAAATATTTTTTGAAACCTCGCCCAAATGTCTAGAATTTACCAAAAAGTTATGTCACGGTTTGACGAGTCTTTCGTACAAATACCAATATCAAGGAGCCTTGGAAAAATAGATTTGATCGTCTTATGTTTTTCGTGTCTTGTCCTGGTCGGTTAAAAGATGCCCAAATCGTTTTTTAATCGTATCTCATTTTTTTCAAATGGAACAAGAGTGGCTCATTAGCATATTTGGAAAAAGCATTTTTTACGAATAATTTGGTTTGGTTTGGCTGCCAATGCTCCAGCCAAGCAAGCAAGTTTCCGCCACCAACCAAGTTTCAGTTTCGCGTCTTTTCCACTAGATGTCCTTCATCCTCTATCCCTCCTCCGCCTCCCTGTTTTATCTTTTCTTCCTCAGGATCTCCGGGAGCGTCCTGTACCTCCATCTCTCTCCCCAACGTTTCGGTTTTCGCCGCACGGTGCGCTACCCTCCTCAGGATCAGGCGCCAACAGCAGCAGCCGCAGCAGGGAGAGACTCTGAACCTCCCGCTGAATAAAATGAAGTCAGTCTAGTTATTTTTAAACCCTTCAACGGTGAGCATCGTATCGCTGTCTCGCGCGCGGCTTTTGTTTCATATACGATGTCCGGAAGTTCAATCCCGTTGTTTTTGTGGTCGTCGTCTTGTAGGCGCTGTCCAGTTTCCGGATTCCTTAGTTAGTTTTGTCGGTGGTTTTGGTGATTGTTGGTTATATTCCCCTTCGGTAATCGTTCCCAGGTTCTAACCTAAAAACTCTTAATTCCCAAATGGATGAAGTTAAGGTAGATCGTTGTACATTGTCTGTCTGTGTTTGATGTTTTTGCTCTACCTGTATGTACATACACACGCACTGTTTGTTTTGAGGACATGTTTCTGTTATTTTGGCATGGATTAATAAAAGTTTTTTGAGTAATAGTGGTTGTTTTTTTTTCCTGTCAGAAAACCTCCCTGAGGTTCTCTGATGTAGACTGTAGCATGTTTTGTGTGTATTACTCTACACAAAAATACACAATATCCTGATTAGTTATACAATATTTGACAAAAATAAATAAATAAAAAACATTTAGATGCTTACTGTTTTATTTTTAAAGATGAAAAGAAAGTGTTCTAAAAAATAGTTAAGTATGTTTCTTCACTCCATATGAGTGTATTGGAGATCTATTAATTTCGATGCATTTTTTTAATACTCCCTGTATATTAACACTACTGAAATTTCTCGATTTTAATCCTAATGAACTTCAATTATTAACAGTATTTCATTAAAAAATTTTATTTATTTTTTGTCTTGTGGCACTGAATATTTTCTAAAATATATTAGAAAAAAATCGTGTATTGCCTCAAATCAAAAATGTATAGTATCATACATTCCATACAAAATGATTACTGTAAAAATGTTAAAATCTTTTTCATATTCAGGGTGTTTATTTCAAGCCAACATGGAAGCATCTGGTTGTAAAAATATAAAGAATTTTGAACTTCCAAAAAAATACAAAAATTTCGTTGTCCAGTTTCCGGATTCCTTAGTTAGTTTTGTCGGTGGTTTTGGTGATTGTTAGTTATATTCCCTTCGATAATCGTCCAGGTTCTAACCTAGAAACCCTTAAAGCCCCAACGAATGAAGTTAAGGTAGACCGTTGTACATTCTATCTGTTTAATGTTCTTGTTCTACCTGTATATACATACACACGCACTGTTTGTTTTCAATACATATTTTTGTTATAGCATGGATTAATAAAAGTGTTTTGAATAATAGTGGTTGTTTTTTTCTCCTGTATAGACTTGAGCATGTCGTGTGTACTACTCTACACAAAAATACACAATATACCAGTT